ACCAGTGTGCAAAAAAAGGCGTTTTCTTTAGAAGACTAAATCACCTCTAATGTTGGGTGTCATACATGTGTGGATGTTGCTGCATCATGTTAAAATGATTAGTTTCGTTTTTTTACATTTTAGAATGGAGTGCCTCTAGATTGTGCAGAATCCCCCCTCCTACCCATGTTGCATATTCTGTATAAGTTGAAAAAAAAAAATTTTTTTACAGATATTAATTTTTTTAAATCTGCTCCACAGCAGTCCAGTAATCTAACAGCTGCAGGCTCTGTGTGTAAAGGCTATGAATTCCCAGAGTCAGAATGTCAACTGGCAGCTCCCATTACCTCCCCCCAGTTTGTTGTCCGTTCTCTGTGCAGCAGCTGCTCTCAGACACAGGGAAGTTGGACCTGCATGATCACATGACTGGACCAGAGCAGATTAAAAGGGGAAAAAATAAAAAAAAATAAATAAAAAAAAAAAGTTACACTGCTCTTTTTATACAGACTATGCAGTATAGGTAGGAGGAGGGGGAGTAGCGTTTAAGAATAATTTTAATTAGCCTTATCCTCCACTTGAGGGTTCATTACATAGTCACTATATTGTACTTGTATTTTGAACTTTATTATTGTGGGTTATCAAAATATATATTTCAAGCTCAAATAACCACTGCATCCATGGTTATTTTTTTTTTAATATATACATATATATATATATATATTATATATAATATATACATATATATATACATACACACACTCTAGAGCACAGCACACAGTCACTACAGAGACAACAGTCTACAAGAAACAGTTTATTTTTTTTTTTTTTTACCAATTCACAGTACAGTGAAATAGTGCCTTCAAGAAATGCACTTTGTATTTATATCAATTGAACAGAATATAGTGATTGAACCCTTTAGAAATTTGATGTGGGCAAGAGAGAAATATAAACTAAGCACCCCAATGTTCCCATAACAGATAAAAAATTGTTAGCATTTCCTATTAAACTATTGTGAATCTTCAGACAGGAAGTTTAGTGCTGCATTTACTGAAACACGTGGCGTGGCTAAGGCTACTACAAAAACTTAGGGAAGAAACGCTTTGTACAGGATCTTTATAAGGCAGTTCTACATCTCTAGCCCTTTCATTACTACTTAAACAAAGATCTTGTTAGAGGTAACTTCTAGTAATAAATAAATGGATAAAACTGCTTCTCAGTAAATATTCATTGTCACAGCTGAATCCCATCAACAAGCCATTCAAGTAAAAGTAATACAAACTTTCCCACCATAAAATTTTAAATCTATTGAACACAAGAGCAGTTTAATGGTACATTTCAGTATACAAAAGGTGAACACAGATATTTAAGTGGAAAAAAAGATAAAGCAGTCTTTAAATTGAAGAATGCTTTCCACAGCTTCATGGTGCCTGTCATTTGTTCTTTTCTGTATCCAGTGAATGGATTACTGCTCCTCTGAGTGCTATAGTAAGTTAAAAAAAAAAGGAAGAAGGTTAGGAAGACATCTATAATATCTTGAAAGGGAACATATACTGGAGTGTGAAGGATGTAACACCCTGCACGCACACATGCACCCTCTTTAGAGTGCCCATCACCGACACCTTTTGCCAACATAATACCATTTACAACACTACAATGTCTTGACACTCTAAATTTGCAATGCTAAAAGTGTCAAACGAAATTTTAAAAAACATTATCTTAATTAAAAAACATTTGGGTCCTTATAATGGCATAATTGGATGGCACAGTTCTAAAAATAAAGTGTAAATCTTCCAGTGCTCCAACTTCCTATGAAAAAGGTGGCTATGTGGAAAAGATTTGTTTTCTTTTTGCATTAAATAAAAAAATGTGATATAGATTTGCACATTTTAAAGCAATGGCAATACTATATTTTCTGCTATTTGGATTGGAGCTTTGATTCAAGGAAGGTTTAGTGACACTAAGTGTTGCGTTGGTGAAACTAGAGGGTTTTCTTAGAATTGCAAATAAATAACATCAATATATCACTACAAATATTAATTGGAAAGATGTTGCTGTGAGGTCTGTTTAAAGGTCATTTCAGTCATAAGGGAGTGGCAGAACAATGCTTTTACCTTTATCCCATAGCAATAAACAAGTTACAACACTGGACTGTAATTTCCTAAAAGAGCAGACCAGACGAGTGCTTTAAAAAGGCAAAAATATACTATTTTTCCCGTATATATTATATATGTTTATTCTGAAGGAAAAAAAAAAAAAAAAAAAAAAAAAGTCTCTTTTGAGTCAAGAAAATGACAAATATTTCATAAATACCCCTTTTAGTCAGGAGGTGGCGAGTGTGAGTCCAGGTAGCTAGTTTACTGCTTGGTTGTACAGACCTGAATACCATATTATAGTTAAGATCCTATTGATACTTTTCGCAGCCATTCACATGTAAAATCGCTCATAAAGTGATTATTTGTGAATGATCAGCCCTGAACACAGATAATCTGCATCCAGGGCCAATAGTCCACAGGTAATCACTGCATGAGCAATTACTTACGACTGGCCTCGAATAGCTGTGGGAGCAGTCAGCCTCCCATTGTTTTCAAAGGCACAACTAGCCCACAGCTAATCGTGGGGGTTTCCCACTGTTAAGCACAAATGCTCTACTCACAAATTGTTAATGGAGTCGTACACATGAAAAAGTCAGCTGAATGACTCGAGAGACATTCATATCCCTTCACTGTGATATTGTGTTCTGCCCTCCCGCACCAGAACATACTGGTAAGAGCTCGCAGCCATTGGCTGCGAGCGATGATCAGATGCCCATCGGCTGTTGGTTTTCCAGCATGCTCTTTCAACAAAAGCTGGTCATGAGACCAGCTTCTGTCACACAAGGATACAGGCTGATTGTCAGCTGATATCTACTGTACCAGCTTATTTTGGCTGGTATTCAGCCTAAGTACAAAGCTTTACACATTTGATTTCTTAACATGCATTGCCACACAGTACAGCAGGAAAGCACCCCATTTATGAAATGTTTACTTGCAAAATAGAATGATAAAATATGAATTTATAAATGCAAAAATTAAAACAAATATGACCAAAACTACCTGTAGTTTAGGAACAAAATGCATAAAAAGTGAAAACTCAGTTTAGGAGGAGGCACTCAAAATTAAAATCTGCGATCAAAAAAAAAAAAAAAAAAAAAAAAAAAAAAAAAAAAAAAAAAAAAAAAAAATTTAACCTGGATTGCAGCAGAAAGGAAGTAAAGAAATCTTTACTATACACTCCCCACTTCTCCAAACACAGATTTGTTCACCAAACTAGAGTGAACCTTTGATCCTTCCAGTGCTTTGACAGTGGGAAGGCAGGTGCAGAACGCAACTGGAGACATTTATCAAGCAAATTAGCCATGTACCGGACCATGCAATAAGTTGCAAATCAGGCTGTATCTCCTTCAGCAAAAACTCCATGACAGGTTTACAGATCTGTGCATCTGTGTTCCTGGGCAGCCAAGAGCAACAGATTGCAAAATTTAAAGACAGATTACTAAAGCGAAGACCGATTTCTACTCTAAAACAGACATATAATTAAGAAGTGGTCATAGTTGGGTTTCAACCATTTGCAAGTGTTACATTTGAGAGTAGTCAAAAGTAGGAATTTACAACACAAGCTGTAACATTGTAATAATAGATCTGTCTTGCTTCTATTTAGCATCACTTTGCAACAAGGAATGATAAATGTCCCCAGTTACTTTTATTCAGAATGCTTTACCCAAACTGAGTTTTCATTTTCAGCTCTGCATTTCCAAAAAAAAAAAGTGGATTACTGGATGGAGGCCAGCTATAGCAGAATACATTGTCCTTAGACCTAACAGACTAACAGAGAAAGGATGGTAGTTGAAAGAACATATTGTAGGTTATCAGTGGCAGCTTAGAAGGCAATATGTGAGCACTCGGAGTCCCTCTACCAAGAAAAAACTACCTACTAGGGGATGGGAGCTCAGCCTAAAAGGGTCCATTTCATTCAGACAAAAAGCAAATTGATACTACGATTTAAAAAAATAAATAAAAAAATAGACTCATTTCACTTCACTGCGATAATTAGTTGATATGTACCAACATCTGCTATTTTAACCAAACTAAATCTTTATTACAGCACATGATGGTGCAAGGTTTGAAATCAAAAATTTTCATCAGCATTTAAACTGGGTAAGCAATGTGGAAACACTAATGGCAGATAACCTATTGGCTTACTTGCTACACAGAATTATTTTAGGCACATGAATGGTAAAGGCCATTTGAAGAAGCATACTAGAACCAAATTAGTAGGATTAACAAAGGAAAAGACTCAGTAATAACATCAGAGTATTTGAAATGAGTGTTTCTATCCAATTGGAGTTTCCGCAACTGAGGAGATAGAGACTGCACGTTGTACCATACATCAATGGAAGCACAGCCCTGTAGCCTAAGATGGCAAGGCACACCTCGCTAATCAATCCTCCAAGCTGACAGACCAAGTCAAGACGACACAGTCAACTCTTTCCTGTGAAGACTGGAAGTTTAGGGAGGCAGCACTGAGAGAGCACTGTAAGTGAGGTGAAAATTGACAATGTTCCAGTTTTGCGATAATAGTTTAAGAGGAGATATCAATTCTGGTTTGTTTCCAGAATACATACAATAAAATCTCCCCAATGAAAATGAAAAAAAAAAAAAAAAAAAAAAAAAAAAAACCACTGACAGATGTTTAAACCATTTTATACTCTAGGTATAGAATATAAGCTTTTTGAAATGAGTGATGTAAAGCCATTCTTACTGTAACTGTTTTTGAAATTTAATATAAGTCATGATGATATGGACACAACCAAGCTGAGCTCCCATGATGATTTACAGTACATACAGAAGTGCTGGGAAGGGCCTGTTGCCCTCCGTCACGGGCCAGAAGAGGTCTGCTGCTTGTTAGTGTCTGCAGGACTGTGCCATTAGAAGCAAAGAAAGACAGGAAAAAAAAAAAAAAAAAAAAAGAAGAAAAATAAAACCTCAATGCAAAGAAAAAGGCAAACCTCTGCAACATGGGGCTGAGAACATACCTTGTCTGGTCACATTTTCTGCTGTGTTCAAAGCCTGGCCACTCAAATCGCTCACTACACTATCTACAGTCCGATGGTGCTTTAGAAAGAATGGCAGAATGAAGCGACTATAAAGAATCTGAGATCCATTCCATGAGAAAGGAGCCATACACCACAGCAAGAATGCACACTGCAATTAAAAACAAAAAAAACAAACAAACATGCTTTTAAGAAATATGGTTATAAATAAAGCCTAACCCCTTGGTCTATGAATTCAGTCTTCTCTTTCTTCCTAGAAATTGCATATTCTATTGCCTAAGATTTCCTCTACTACATGAAGCGTATCCGCCCCATCTTTTGTGATTAAGCGGACCTCATTTACTCATTGTAGCAGATGATTCCCGGAAGCTTCCAACCATATATATACTACCGGTACATACCGTACTGTAATGTCTTCACTGCATGGCCACTTCCACCTCTCTGCTGTGAGCATACCTGTCTTTTCAGTAAGTGATGGCACATGCAGTGCAATATTGCTGGTCATGGGCAGGTGCCTGGTGTCGGAGACCAGAACTTTCAAAGTAAATTGTTATGCTGTGCAATATTTGCACAGTAGAAAACTACAGTATCCAAACTTTTTTTATAGGTGATGTTTAAAAAGCCTTTACAGTTTATCAGTTCTGAGTTAACCACGAGTCCTCATTCACACATGCACTCAGGCTCATAGATGGTGAATGGACAGTTTATTTATGCTGCTTGTGCTGGCAGGTGCTGAAGGCAGCCCACATAAGTGTATGGTGCTGCACAGCACCAAACACAGTCATACTCAGATTTAGCCTCAGCGCCCATGTGAATTAGACCTAAATTATGCCCACACTGAAGTTCTGGCGATACCCCACATGTCACACAATAATCTTTACATAACCTGTGGGTCCTATACTTGCCTTTGCATTTGTGTATATAAGCCTCCTGTGTGATAGCAATGGCAGGTTCTTTATGAATACATCAGAGGTCTATTAGATCCTTCATGTCTCCCCTACTCCCCACTGTAGCCAACGAAGCACAGATCATGTTTGATTAGCTGCTTCCCTAGTTATAGTAGCTGGAGAATGACAGGTTTAAAACTAGAAAGTACAAAATGCTCATTGCTTCCAGTATGCTTCATTTCTTGCAAGGGAGATGAAAGAACGGATGTTCTTCAACCACCATCTCCTCTGTTTACCAGTTTACAATGGTCTGGGACTCCCCAGAGGAACTGGAGAGCCCAGGATTCACCATGGGTTGTGGCAAGGACTTTCTCATCCAGATGGCCAGAGGGTGGTAAGCAGTGCTACTAATTTGAATGCAGCCTTACTGAACAGTCGATTAATGGCTAAAAATAATACCAGGCTCATGGCTGTAGCCATGAGCTTGTTTTAACTGCTTAAAGCCCAGAATGTTCTCTGGACAGCAAGTCAAGAACAAAAATGAGCAGCACCGTAGTGACATTACCAGGGGCGGACTGACAACTCATGGGGCCCCCGGGCAATAGGGGATCATGGAGCCCATGTCCTCAGCCACACTTAAACCAAACCCAAAAAAAAAACCTGTGAAATATACCAGGGGCATCTCATGGGGCCCCCTACTGACCCCAGGCCCTTGGGCAGTGTCCCGAGTACCCAAATGGTCAGTCCGCCCCTGGGCATTACTTAAATCTCACTCCAAATATCCTGAAATTATCAGTCAAAAGGCAGCAGTGCCTCATATCTCATACTGCAGATTTACAGCTAGAAATCTTTGGCCACAGGAGTGCCTAGACTCCCCTCACAGGAAGTGCACTGCTATACTTCAGGAGGAGTTCAAGACAAAAGGTTTCTTTTCAGGGTAATGTATAAGCACAATTAGCATTTCTAAATTTTCCCTATAACATGGCAAATCTTTACTTTTGAGTTCAGTTCCTCTTCAAAGGACAGTAAAGAATTATATAAAAACAGTGTAATGAAAACCTTCTCACCTTTCCCAGATAGTAAAATGGAAACCAGAAGAGAAATATATCCGAGAAAAATTCTACTACGCTGAACACGCCATAAACCACCCAGTACGTCAGCCATATCGTGTCATCTTTTTTTTCTGGGCTTTCAATGGCTTTAATTCTATGGAAAACAAATTGAAAAATACTATACAATATCAGCTTAAATCTACAAATCATTATGAAATGGCACCAGTTTTTAGGGTGCAAAATTAAAATGAACCATTGCTTTCTCACTTCTAGTTTACAAAACATTGCTCATTCGCCCTCCTTTCACATAATTTCAACTTTTTTTTTTTTTTTTTTAATTTTAAAATTAGGAAGCTGACCCTTCTGCTTTGCTCACCTGGGTATATGAATGACCCAGCTTCCAGTAGCCTGCTGGGATACCTAGATCACATGTCCCTGGAGTCTTCAGGGCAATCTAGAACAGATGCACATGTGCAAGGTGCATCATCAGGGGCAGGCTGCAAGAACCTGGAAGAGATGGCTGTCCCCCCGATGATGTACAAGAGAAAGATGAGAAGATGACAGTGCAGGACAGCACATGTAGGCTAACAGTCTGGTTGAAGAGTACAATGCTGGATTCACTGGGCTTATAAATATGTACAGAAAGATAACAAGGAGGCAAGTGGCATTTTGAGGGTCCATTCACACCAGCCATTCCATTGCAGCGCAGCGGCTCGAATTGCAGCAGTGCTGATGCACTTATGGTCAAAAAAAAAAAAAATTAAAATGGAGCCGGCTTGCAATGAGTGCACTGCGCTGGGAAGAAAAAAAAAAAAAAAAAAAAAAAAAAAAAGAAGTGCACACAACCGTAACACAGTGGTGTGTGAACTGGCCACGCAAAAGACCAGGCATTTTGCTTAGCTTTCTCTTGAGGTGAGGGTACAAAGGAACTTTAATGGAATAGCCACCCTTAGTCGTCCCACATCAGCTGGTATGAACCTAGTCTAAATTAAAATTAAAGCACTGAGCAAACTGCTGGCACTGTAAAAATCCTGTATAATAAGAACTATAGTTTACAGAAATCTTTCCTTCCACAGCCAATACAAGCCTATGAATACTTACGAAGTGTAAGCAGGATACACAAAGCCAATCAAATTGCAGACCAGAGAAGCCCCATAGCCAAATACCAGGTACAAGCCCAGAGAGCAGAGGGAGCCTAGAGAAATGGAGTATGAAGCAAGACACCGGTTACACAGCTAGCAAAGCATAGCACTCTCTTTCTAGGTTAAGACACTTAATTTATTTTCCCATTGAACAAGATAAATATTTTAGTCACTGTTATCCCAACTATAAAAATAGTGTTTACAGCAAAATATGCCAGTTAGAAAATGCATGAGAAATAGGGCAGAGCTAGGCAGCTAATGCAGGGTCATAATCCTCTGTCTAGCACTGTAAGCAGCCCAGGTTCACATGATTAGTGTCACCAGACAATCATTCCCCCCCTCCCCCTCTGTGGATATTTCCTGCCAACCCTTATCAGTAATGACCATTGTCTTGATGACTGATACAAGTGTACATGACATGCAAAGTAAGCAGTTGAAAAGCTCAATTTCCCTACACATTTCTGAACTGCAGCACTGGTGATTTTTGGCAGTTTACTCCCCAGTGACTGCTAGCCTTTGGAAATATTCTTAATGAGGCAACAAATAAAAAATGACCGCAAAGGCAAAATATCAGGGTCACCACACTTTAGAATCTGACTGCACAATCAATTTTTTGGTGGTCACGGAGTGATGACACCTGTGGTTTTAGATCTGTGTACCCACTCCTGCCCCAATGTCAAATTTAAACATGCGATTGTGTCTCTACTTGCGCATCCACTTCTATGGGCTGCCTAGACATAGTTCACATGCAGCAGGCAGTGGCTTGGATTGGAGGGCGAATCTGATTGCCCATGTGAATGAGCCCTAAAGTGATCACATCACAATGCCAAAAACTTGTGACTGAACTACACTTTAACCCCAACCATCCGCTACCCCTTTTAGCTGCAGAAGCAGCAACTGGGGTGTACACTTACCACAGCTGTAGTGCTTTAATTTGTGAATGAAATTATAGTTCCATTGCTTTTGGTTGACTCTGAAAGCACCCCACAACCGCAAGCAAGGAATGCTGTTGCTGCATGCTAGTGCAGGATTCAAGGGGTTCAAGCACGCAGTCAAGAGGCTATACAACACCTCCTCGCCACCTGTCACATGCTCTCTGAAAAGCATCCAAATGTAGAACGCTTCTCAGAGAGCAAAGCTAGTGTGAACGAGCCCTAAAGATGGCCACAGATGGATCAAAATTTGGCCGTTGAGCAAAGACCAGCCAAATTTTGATCCATGTGTGGCCACTGCAGTTGAATGGAAGTTGATTTACTGATTGACGTCTGTTCAACTGCCATACTGGACAAAAGCTGCTCGATCAGATAACAGCTGCAGGGCCGATTCATGTATTCTGACCATGTATGGTATGGTCAGCTACAAGTGCAACTATCCCCATTGATTTAAAAGTTTTCATGCTGGGAATGCTAACTGTCACATTTGCTTGTGTTCTCAACCAAGCGGTCAAACCATCAAATGGCTGATGTCATAACTGATCACATGTGCAGCACCATGGCAGTTGCAGGTTAAACAGAAGCCAAGATGGCAGCTTCCTCAGGTGAAAAGAACAGGAGGGTTTAGTTCTAATTTAAAGTGGACTCAGTGATGCAGTGTCCTGCTGCTCCCCACCTAGCCGCTGACATCTTCGGGTGGCTGGCTTTCGGGTCTGGATCGCCAGCTGATGTCAATGGCCAGGTGGAGATGACATCATGGGTGAGCCTAGTCAGATTCAGCATTTCTGAATCTGTACAGTGAGCTGTGCGTGCACGGATCACTGTACAGGGGTGGACAGGCAGGTAACTTACCGTATTTTCCGGCGTATAAGGCGACCGGGTGTATAAGACTACCCCCTAATTTTCCAGTTAAAAACATAGGTTTTGGGCTATACTCGCCGTATAAGACTACCCCCCCTTCCAAGGCAACACCATTTAAAAACATCAGATTTTTTTATTGAAATGGTTATGACTTACCGGTACTTAAAATCCTTCAAAATCCTCATGTTCATCCTCCGACATCATAAGTTCATGAATGACATCTTGTGATACATTTGTAAGACAGTAATCATATGGATCAAATTCCAAATCAGATGTTACCGCTGGATGTGCGGTAATACGGTAGCTTCAGCTACATACAGTATATATACACAGCCCGCTGGATGTGCAGTAATGTACATACAGTATACCGCGCTGAGCCAAGCTGGCTCAAAACAAATGTCCCTATGACAGATTAATCTGTCAGCCCGCTGGATGTGTGGTATATACAATATACTGAGCCAAGCTGTTTCAAAATGTACCGGTACGTCCCTACGGTAATCAGACCGCTGGATGTGTGTATGTACAGTAGCTGAGGCTACATACAGTATACGCTGGGCCAATCACGGCCAGCGATGTATTCTACTAATGAATACAAAGCCTTCTTGGATTGGTTGAGGTTGTAACATCATCAGCCCACCTCTCTGACTCAGCCAATCCGAGCAGGCTTTGTATTCATTAGTAGAATACATCACTCACCGTGATTGGCCCAGTGTATACTGTATGTAGCCGCAGCTACCATACATACACGCATCCAGCGGGCTGATTACAGTAGGGACGTACTGGTATGTTTTGAAACCGCTTGGCTCAGCGCAGTATACTGTATATACCACACATCCAGTGGGCGGACAGATTAATCTGTCATAGGGACATTTGTTTTGAGCCAGCTTGGCTCAGCACGGTATACTGTATGTACAATATTACCACACATCCAGCCAGCTTGACCCAAACAAACTCAAGGTTCACATTTTATACCCCGCATATAAGACGACCCCCAATTTTTGGGGTATATTTTTAAGTATAAAAAGTAGTCTTATATGCCAGAAAATACTGTACTTTAACTCAGAAGATACAACGCAGGTCTCTTCTGCATTAAAACTTGCCCTCCTGAGGATTTACCCCCTTTCCTGACCAGGCCATTTTTTGCATTACGGCGCTGCGTTACTTTGACTGACAAATGCTCAGTCATGCAACGCTGCATGTTTGCGTTTTTTTAATTTTGTGCTATAAACAAACAAGACTGAAAACCTTGAGAAAAACAAAAACAATATCAGGAAACACTAAAAACTGGGGATGGAGGCCTGCCATTTAAAGGCACGGGGGATGGCGGGTTTCCTGACCCGGAGGGAGGAGCTCTACGTCTCAAGGGGCTGTCCTGGAAGGTGCAGGGAGAAAACAATATTTGACTTTTTGCTATTAAACATGTCCAATAAAATTTAACAAAAAAAAAAAAAAAAAATTTCATCATGAATTTAGGCCAAAATGTATTCTGCTACATGTCTGCTAAAAAAAAAAAAAAATCCCAATACGTGTAAATTAATTGATTTTATATGAAAGTTATAGCGTTTACAAAATGACAGTATACACACAATTTTTAAAAATTTGTTTTTACTAGTAATGGTGGCGGCCAGCGAATTATAGCAGGACTGCGTCAGGCATTCTGACACTGGGGATGTCAGTGGCACCAAACGTGATCAATGCTAATAAAAAGCACCGACACGTACTAATGGCACTGGGCAGGGGAACATGTGGGGCGATCAAAGGGTTAAGGTCCATCTGCCCTTGCTTTATCCATTAAATACATGTGCCTCTACTATGGGGGCTCTTAAAATTTGTTGGGAACTACAGAATACTGGGGAGCCGTGATGAGGCTCTGAAGCTTACGCATGTATTTGCAAATGTGTGCTAACTAAACCCGTTTTCAATGCATACTGTTAGACAGGTTAATTTGGTTGGTTTGCAGGCTGGTTGGCAAGCTGAGCTGGGAATTTTTATTTTTTGTTGTTTGAACTGTGTGTCGTTTCACATTATGTGCCGTGTGTACTTTCAACTGTAAGCACACTGCTTTGTATGGCTCTGCTATGCAGAGCCAAACAAAGCAGTGTGCAGGAGCCGACAGGGGAGAGAACTGTATTGTTTACATACAGTTCTCTCCCCCGTCGGTAATACTCAGCAATCACCGGGTGTCAGTGAGTAATCACCGGCCAGGACCCAGTGATTGACAGCTGAGGCTGCGAATGGCGGCACGGGTAGGGCTTGTGTGCCCCTACCCAGAACTGCAAAATCACGTGTATACGTTGCAGTATTTCTGCTATAGGGCGGATGGGAAGCGGTTAAAATTCCTACCTGTTCACGTTTTTTTTTTTAACCAAGTTGCACTTCAAGATCCTACCTGACTGGACACAAATTGAATGCACTGTTTAGGTTTGTCCTCACATTAGTTTTGGTAAATCAAGAGCAGATTGTCCAATCAGATTGTATAGTGTATGGCCACAGAGGCCAGTTGCACAGGAGAGTAAAAAATGCAGATATTTTTTACAGATCTGAAATGAGATGCATTGTTGTCTATGGAACAATGAACACAGCTGGGTAAAGATCAGTAAGGCTGCTTTCACACCAATCCATTTTGTTTCTGCTTTTGCATTTAAAAACAAAAAAAAAAAAAAACACGAGAAAAAAAAAAAAAAAAAAGCACTGGAACGCATCTGGACTGCATTTCTATAGTGTGAACCGGCCCTTACACTCGTATACGTGTTTACACAAGGTCTTTAAAGAACATTTTAGGCCTCTTGCACATGGTCCTTGTATTTGAACATCAACATTTCTGGATATAATTTCAGGCATTTGCTTTGCGCGTATTCACGTGCACAGTACATTCCTAGTAGGGATGCACTGAAATTTCATCCAAAAATACTCCTATCGACCTTTGACGACGATTGAGTACCTATTTACTCGGCGTAACATATTTTAGAAAAAAAAAATGGGATATATATGGCGTTTTGTTTTATTCATTAAAATTTTTTTTTTTTTTAAATTGCGTTTGAAAAATATATAATTCTTAAAAACTTTGACAAAGTGCACCCTGAATTTTCGGTTTAAGCACCATAATTATCTTTTCGGTGCACCACTAATTTCTAGGTAAAGTCCATTAATATTTATGCTCATATGTACGCACTGGCGCAAATTACTAAGCAGGAATGCAACTTTTTCTAGATTTGTTTTTTTTTTTTTTACTCAAGAAAATGCAGTGTTTGCTTATGCGGCTGTGTGTACAGGAACATCATAAACAACGGGCTGCATTTTAGTCACCGGTCACACTGCTGTCATTTAAAATAATGCAATTTGTGTGCAATTTCTGAAGACTTTATTGCTACTTATGAACATTTTCAATAATTCTTGCAATTTGCAGTGCGATTTCAATTATATTCTATGTTTGTGAAATCGCAACAAAATTGCAGAAAACGTAATGTAAGAACTACTTTAAACCAATCCTGACTTTGAAATCGTGCAACTTCACTGTAAGTTGCATGTTTTCAAAGTTGGATGACATGCCGATCTGAGCTGCAATTTGCAAGACATCTGACACAGAGGTCTATGCAAATCGCACAAAGAGTAGTGCATGCACTACTTTAGAAATCAGTGTGGCTCTCATTACGTCGGAACTGCACTGATATGACTGCTGTAACTGCAGACAATAGGGTGCGAATTTCCATGCGATTTGCAAGTTGGGGCAGCACAGTGGCTAAATGGTTAGCACTTCCGCCTGGCAGTACCAGGGTTGTTGGTTCGAATCCCAGCCACGGCACCACCTGCCTGAAGTTTGCATGTTCTCCCTGTGCCTGTGAGGGTTTCCTCCAGGTACTCCGGTTTCTTCCCACACTCCAAAGACATGCTGGTAGGTTAATTGGCGCCTGTCTAAACTGGCCCTAGTATGTGTATGTATGAATGTAAGTTAGGGACCTTAGATTGTACGCCCCTTGAGGGTTAGGGACTGATGTGAATGTACAATATATATGTAAAGCGCTGCGTAAATTGACAGCGCTATATAAGTACCTGAAATAAATAAAAAATAAAGTTGTATGGCATGCAAATCGCACCCAGTGTGACCGGGGTCTTAGAAATCTTGCTGCAACAAATTGCAGGTGTTAAGACACTGACATTCACTAGATGTGATTTCAATTCCCAAATTGCACCGATATGACCGGGCACTTTAGAACAGTAAAAGAAAAAAAAAAAAAAAAAATGCTATATTGAGCATTTTCAAGCTGCAGTGGCAAGAAGCCTTACCCTAGGTTCACACCTAAGTATTTTCTGCAGCGTTTTGCAGAAACGCAGTACAGTCCATTTAACATGATTTCCTATGTGACAGGTTCACATCTCTGCGTTTTCACCCAGTGCGGTTTTTGGAAAGGGTCAGGGACTTTATCGAATGCAAAATGTTGAGTTTTTGGTTCTATAGACTTCAATGGGAACGCGACAGAAAGTATGTATATGCTGCCCCCCTCCCCCTACAAAGAGGACCTGTCACTCATATCCCATCACATAGGGGACTCTTGGTCCTCTATGTGATAGCAATAAAATCATAAGTTGAAAATAAATAAAAAAATACATGAAAATAGAAACAAATTGGAGCCTCCCCACCCCTACATACGCAGACATTTCAGTTTAGGTTCGGTTTTTTCGGCCACATGCATTCTGAGTTTTCGGTTTCGGTACCAGAATTTTCATTTCGGTGCACCACTACTATACGGCTTACACCCCTTTAGCCGGGTGCACACTTCTGCGGTGCAGCATATTGCATGTGATTCGCACAGGAACTGCACCGCATTCCTCTTCAAATCACATGCGGATTCCATGAGGTGCAATTTCAGCCACACATTTTCTTTGGCTCAAATCGCACCTTTTTGTGGTCCGCACTAGAATTGGATCCCATGGGTATTCACACCTTTTGAACTGATTCCAGGGTGTTAACGTACACACCCACAGCGGTTCACATGAACAGGGTGCAATTGTGATGCGGAATTTGCACAGAAACCGCTGCGAATTCCACACAGCATCAGGGTGAACCCAGGCTTAGGTGCCTATACTCAACATTACTCAGGTCCAGGGGCGGACTGACAACTCATGGGGGCCCCCAGGCAATAGGGGATCACGTCTGTGTCCTTGCCCAAACTCATAAAAGCCTATGCAAAAGGTACCAGGGGCATCTCATGGGGCCCCCTACTGACCTCGGGCAGTTTCCAAATGGTCAGTCCGCCCCTGCTCACGTCTTCTCAGTTTTTACATCTGAGTAAACCTCAGTAACCGATGACACCGGTGTACATGGGGCCATAGAGTGTGTTTGGGAATATAATCCATCCATCCTCCTGTTATGAGGGAGCAGTCAGGTGTCCCCATGGATGATCAGCTGTGACTGCTATGGACGGTTCTCACACACAACTCATGACAGGCAGCTCACAGGCTCCTCCTGCCCCCATTCCACTCATACACCTTCCAGCTGTCTCACCAGTAGCGAGGTAAGACTTATTGATGCCAGTCTTCTCCTCCACCTTCCCCAGGAGCCGGGACACGACGTTATCCCCGTGGATGAAGTTGTGGAACCGTTCCCGTAGAGCGGCCATGGCGGAACTTCCCCACTCTTCACCCCGGACAGCGATCAGGATGCCTCGCTCCGGGCTGCTGACGTCATCCGCCCCGCGGCTAATCAACGAAAGGGGGCGTGCCCCAGGTGTAGGTGAGGTAGACGAGAGCAGCGCAACAACTCATGACCGTTATTATATACTCCATAGGCTGGGGTCCTATTGGGACTCGTAGCTGTTATACAGACAAAGCCCAGAAACGGATATCTAATAACTGTAAATAACGTGCACTTATAGACTCTGCCAGACCGTCGGACGTGGCCCGCTCCAGTCCAGGACTCTACTCCTGGTTATTCCCTTCTAAATACACTCACGTGACACTAAACCACCTCACAGGAGCTCACTCATGACACTGATTAAAATGGACGTGCTGGGCTTTAGGTTACAATAACCCCGTTATTTCATATCCAATCAAATCTGCGCGGGACAATGCACACGAGGAGAGTATAGGCTGTGTTGGACGCCTGGTACCGCCCCCCTTATGCAGGAGGCCTTCAGTGCTCTGTAAGCTGAGGTGGTAGGAGAGGAAGATGAGGAGGGTTGGGGTCGGTGCGGTGGTCCTCCTGTATGTGTGGGGTGCCATGGCTTCTTGCCCTGAGAGTCTATACCAACAGCTGGGCTGTGCAGCTTACTGGGGGCTCCGAGGAGGCGGAGAGAATCGCCAGGAAGTTTGGCTTTGTCAGCCTAGGACAGGTGACCACACTTTGCCTGATTTTTTTTTTTTCCCCCCAGAAGTGGGTGAATGCCAATTTTTTATGTGTCCTACCACAGCAAGACATTGCATTCTGACTTCCCTTTCTAAGATTGCATTCACATGTGAGTGATTTGTAGTTTGAAGCTCAAACTTAAAAACAAACAATTGTCCTCTACGGTGCCTGTTCACAGCTGATCGCACGCCAGTTGATGTTTGAGCATTTTTGGAGCTTTAAGCTACTAAACAGTCAAGTGTGAATGCAGGCTTAGTTCAGGTTTATAGGTCAGGTTCACCTCTTACGGAAACATGCAGACAAGGGGCCCCTTGCTATTTAACTGCTGTTATATGTGATTTTGCATTTCCAGGTGGGGGCGTGCACCCTACCCTCACCGCCATTTGCATCCGCGATTGTCAATCATGGGTCCTGGCCAGTGATTACTCGCCGGATCCCAGTGATTTCCAAGGATCTCCTGGGGAGAACTGTTTTGTTTACGAACAGTTCTCCCTGTCAGCTCTTGCACACTGCAGTGTGCTTACAGTGAGGCTGGGTTCACATATATGCGATGCGGTATATCGCATGTGATTCACACAGGAACCGCACCGCATTCCTGTGCAAATCGCATGCGATTTGTGTCTGGTGCGATTGGAGCCATACATTTTGGCACCCGCACTAAAAAGGTGCAGGACCCTTTTTTATTGGTCCGCACTAGAATTGGATCGCATGGGTATTCACACCTATGCGATCCGATTCTGCACATTGCACTGCGTTTTTGGACCAATTTTGGGGTGTTGTTAACATACCCACCTGCAGCAGTTCGAATGAACAGGGTGCAATTCTGATGCATCAGTGTGAACCCAGCCTGAAGCACACAGCCACCTAGTAAAACGCTCCCAGCACACAGTTAACCCTTTGATCGCCCCTCATGTTAGCCCCTTCCTGCCCAGTGCCATTAGTACAGTGTCAGTGCTTTTTTTTTTTTTTTTTTCTAGCACTGATCACTGTATTGGTGTCACTGGGGATGTCAGTGACACCAAGTTCGTTCTCCCCCAGTGTCAGAATGTCTGCCGCAGTCCCGCTATAAGTCACTGATCAACGCCATTACTAGTAAAAATAAAATTTTTAAAAAAATCCCAGTATATACTTTGTGAATGAATGACACGGCCATGTGTGTGTCGCCTTGCATGACCACCCTCTCTTTAACCGCTTGCCGCCCTGCCACTGTGTATATACGTGTGCAGGGCGGCAGTGGAGCGCAAAAGCACGTTTTAAAACGTGCTCCGCGCTCCCGACACATTCGCGGGTAGGGGGCGCGCGCGCTCCCCGCCGACCCGCGGGTATACGATTCGATCCAGGAGGGATCGATCATTAGATTTCAGCCAGTGATTTCTGGCTGAAATCACATGATCGGTCCCTGTCCTATCCTGTCCTGTGTTGATATTTACACAGGGCAGGATATGATGTCATTCTTCTCTGCCTGGACACATTCCGTTCCAGACAGAGAAGAAGACATCCAAAAAGTGAGTACACAAGCACTACACTACAGTTAGAACACTCTAGGACACATTTAACCCCCTGATCGCCCCCCCCCCCCCCAGTTAACCCCTTCACTGCCCTGTCACCAGTGTCACTGATCAGTGAAGCGATTTTTACTGATCAGTGTCGCTGGCGACTTCCGATAGAGTTAGTGCCCCTCACAGATAGCGCCAGTTTGCCCGCCAGTACACCAGTAATTCCGTTTAACCCCTTGATCGTCCCCCCCCCCCCCCCCCCCCCCCCCCCCCCAGAGTTAACCCCTTCACTGCCCTGTCACCAGTGTCACTGATCAGTGAACCAATTTTTACTGATCACTGTATCAGTGTCGCTGGCGACTTCCGATAGTGTTAGCGCCCCTCCCAGATAGCGCCAGATTGCCGCTAGTGCACCTGAAATCCCATTTAACCCCTTGATCGCCCCCCCCCAGTTAACCCCTTCACTGCCCTGTCACCAGTGTCATTGATTACAGTGAACAGATTTTTACTGATCACTGTATTAGTGTCACTGGTGACTTCTGATAGTGTTAGCGCCCCTCCTAGATAGCGCCAGTTTGCCCGCTAATGCACGGGATTTTTTTTTACCAAAAACATGTAGCAGAATACATTTTGGCTTAAATTTATGACTAACGATATATTTTTTATAGCTGAAAGTAGAAAATATTGTTTTTTTTCCAAAATTTTTGTGTTTTTTTTGTTTATAGCGCAAAAAATAGAAAGTGCACAGGTAATCAAATGCCACCAAAAGAAAGCTCTATTTGTGTGAAAAAAAGGACGTAAATTTCGTTTGGGTACAGAATTGCATGACCGCGCAATTATCATTTGAATTAGTGTAGCGCTGTATAGCAAAAAAAAGGCATAAATTACAGTATCTATACCATAGTTTGTAGACGCTATAACTTTCACACAAAGCAATCAATATACACTTATTGGGATTTTTTTTACCAAAAACGTAGCAGAATACATTTTGGCTTAAATTTATGACTAACTTTGAGTTTACGATATATTTTTTATAGCTGAAAGTAGAAAATATTGTTTTTTTTCAAAAGTTTCGTGGTTTTTTTGTTTATAGCGCAAAAAATAAAAAGCGCACAGGTGATAAAATACCACCAAAAGAAAGCTCTATTTGTGTGAAAAAAAGGACGTAAATTTCGTTTGGGTACAGCATTGCATGACCGCGCAATTATCATTTGAATTAGTGCAGCGCCAAACAGCAAAAAAAGGCCTGGTCATTAAGGGGGGTAAATCCTCTGGGGCTCAAGTGGTTAAAAGTGACAGCTGATAGGGGGAACTTCTCCCTCTACTGCTGTTACACACAGACCTCGAAGAGCAGCTGCAGGAGCTGGAACATGTTACATGTTCCATCCTAAAAAGGGGTGGAACATGTAACCTGTTCCCAAAGGTAAACTTATGCCTTAACCACTTTGGGACCTGGGCATTTTGCAAACATGGCAATACCTGAATTTTTGGCCAGGAAATTACTTGAATTCTCATCCCCCCAAACAATTATATATTTTCTGAAAGCAGAGACCCTGTGAAATGGTAGTTGCAAGTTTTACATTGCATGATATGGTTTAGGAAAAAATACACTAAAATTAATTTTAGTGCACGCAAACACATTATACAGGTGTACCTCGGTTTACGAACGCCTCGGTTAATGTAATTTTCGGTTTACGAATGAAAATCCATTGAAAATAATGTCTTGGTTTACGGTTTTTTTTCTTCGCAATACGAAGTGTATGTCGGTGCAGATTTTTAAATGCAATTGCTGGCTTTTTTTTTTCTTCACTATAGCTCACAGAATTAGCTGTCTCTTTCCCCCCCAGCTAAAGGATTCTTTGTTTTTCATCTCAGCAAACAAACTAAAAGGAAACATAGTGAAGGAAAAAAAAAAAGCTGGTAATTACATTTAAAAACCAGTACTGACCTATAGTGACAGCTACTTTTTTTTTTTTTTTTTTTAACTTTTTTTTCTGACCTCTGGAATGGATTAATTGGTTTTCAATGCATTCCTATGGGAAACCGCGTTTTGGTGTACAAATTGTTTTCAATACGAAACGTCCCGGAGAATGCATTAAATTCGCAAACCGAGGTACACCTGTAATACCTGATTTTCGAGTACAATATAAAAGATAGGGTTACGTTATGATACCAGACTTGTGAAACCTTAGAATTATTGCGCTCATTCTGTTATCAGTGATATGTAATGTGTGGTGCAGTTCCATTATGTTTTTTCATAATGTAAGTGACGGGTCCCTTTAATGGAGGCATCAGGGATCTATTATACCCCTAATATGACCCATAGCTTGCTGAAACTGATGAAGCACAAAGGGACGTCGGCCAAACCCATAGGGGAAGAAATTCTACACAGTGACACCCAATCCATTTACAAAGTGAAATCTAGTGTGCTGGGTCTGCAGGAGGGTCAGTGGAGGCTGGTGAGGAAAACTGCTGTACTTTTTCAGGTCCCTACAAATGAAAACTTGTACCTGAATTTCCCTTAGTGGCAGCAAAAAATGATACCAAGATCATGGCTCCAGTTTGTTATAACCACTTATATATTGGTACATCATATGGTCCTTGCAGTAAAGCTAAACCCATCTGTTTAACTGATCCACAGACATATGCAAGAGATGCTGGGAATAACTATCACAATTGGTTGTGCTCTCAACTGAACTGTCAAGCCATCAAATGTCTGGTGTCCTTACTAATCCTGTGTTCATCACCATGGCAACTACAGATGTAACAGAGGCTAAGATGGCAGCTTCCTTGGCTGTAAAGGATAAAGAGTGTTTAGTTCCACTTTAAAAGTGGCTAAAATACGGTACTGGTGGGAATTTACTAAACTATAGCAGACAGAATCTGGAGCAGCTGTTCATAGTAACCAGTGAAAGCTAGAAGTTGTTTGGTTGTTATGCACAGCTTCTCCAGATTCTGCTTGCTCCAGTCTTAATATTCTCCCCACGGTGCTGTTTGTTTCTTGCAATTGCCATACATGTAGGCCTTTTTAGTGATGGGCAAAAAACACCCCCTTGTTCGGTTGGCATTCGAACATAATGAAAGTTCGACCGCGAACTTCAAACAGAGGGAACAGTTCACTAAGTGGTATCTTACCACATCTAAGTATGCGGTAAGATACCGTACAGCTACTAAAAACATTCTTTATTGATTCAGCTGTTAGTGGGGTTCCCCACTGACAGCCAAATGTAAAAAGAATTACCAGCAAAAAAAAAAAAAAAAACACATGGGGTCCCCCCCAATCATGCAAAGCCCTTCGGGTCTGTATGCCAAAATTTAAAAAAAGACGTGGGGGTCCCCCCCCCAAATCCATACCAGACCCTTATCTGAGCATGCAACCTGGCAGGTCAGGAAAGGGGGGGGGGTGAGCAAGCACCCCCCCACCAAGCACCTTGTTCCTATGTTGATGGGGACAAGGTCTCTTGCCCCACAACCATGGCCGCTGGTTGTGGGGGTCTGAGTGTGGAGGGGCTCGTCGGAATCTGGAAACCCACTTTAGCAGCCCTCCACTATGTGAATGAGTATGGGGTACAGGGCACTGCTACTCATTCACAAAAAAAAGTGTAGTGTAAAAAAATGACAGTAGACAGTCTTTGACAAGTCCTTTACTAAAAACAAAAATTAAAAAAAACCATCAATCACAATGCTCACTGCCACCGCCGACCCGAAAAAAAAGTTCTGCCCTGAAAACGCTGGGTACCACCATCTGACAGCTGCGCCAGGATAGCCATTCTTAAATACTGTGATGACGTCACAAGGGGGTAGGATCACCTCCACCCCCTTGTGACGTCCTCATGCTCTGTGATTGTCAAAGCATTGCACCTGATCTGTCAAAGTTCGGCTCGAATGTATAGCCCATAACTAGGCCTTTTCTGTGATTCAAGAAGCCTAGCTGAAATCCCCCCCAATGATTACATTCCTACATCTTTTTGTACAGAGATCCTTTGCAACCTGCTTTTTTTTTTTCTTTTTAAAGTTCCGAGCCAACGCCATCTGCTACTCCTTCCTCCACATTCCCCCTCAGCAAGCCGGGTGCTAAGGGGGCACACTCCTGAGTCAGGCTGTGTGTGTCCATAGAAACACATCACCTGTAAGCCAGGCTCCTGCTCTCTCTCTTATGAATTTGACTAACAGCAGCAGGAACCTATGGCTCCACTGCCCCCAGTGTCTCCTGTGTGACCAGGAAGAGAGGAGTGCTGCAGCTGGGACAGTGTTGGATCAGGTAAGTGTTTAGAGATGGGGGTGGGTAGATTAGGTAGTGGGTTGAGTTTAGAACTAATGTAACTTCAGTGTCTTCACAGTCTGATAGATAACAAAAATGTAGATCAGGAAAATCAAAAGCCCATATCTGCATCCTTGGTCAACATTGGAGACTACAAGCATTGTAATTGGAAGGCTGCCAATTTCTGGCTGCAGACATTGTGGTGGAATGGACTTCAGCATCGTTTAGCTAATCTACTTTACAGTTATAAAGTCTGCCTTTGTTCAAAGAAGAATTCTGGTTTGAAAAAAACATTCTGATGGCAGAGCTGTTCGGATGCA